TATATATGTAAATTCGACGATAGTGCGCTTATACGAATAATTGTGCATAATGGATTACCTGTGCAGTAGAGCCATCAGTATGGCAATAGGGCTAGCGGTGGAGACACACAATATAAAATGTAATAAAAATATGCGATAAAAGAGAGCATTGTAAATGAAAGAGAGCGATTGGCCGTTGCGCATAGTACGTGTCGCGTTTTAACGAAACGAAAACGTACGGTATGCCACGCGACAACTGCGACGCGTAGCGAAGCGATATACTGTTCCAAGAACGCTCGTTCGAGATTATGTACGACGATTCAAAACGACAATTGTCGCGACAAACACGTTACGTTCGGAACGGTCGGCAATGGTCAGAGTCGGTTCGTTTCTTTCACGCGCGTCTTCCACGCGCGTCTGTCCGTTCTGTCGCGCCGTTGCGCTCCGCTGCGCTGCGCCTTCCTTTTCTTTCTTTCTTTCTTTCTTTCTACGGACGAGACGTAGACAGCTCCTCGATCCGACGTGATTTCCTCGTTTCCGTTGCGAAACGAGAGACAACTAGTGTCTCTCGTAGCAACGTAGTGTCCCTTCTCGCTGTCGTTTCTTTCCAACGACGTGGATTTCGTTCGCAACAACACGACTATGCGAGTCAACGGCGGGGCCAGGGAAGAGACGTGGTAGAGACGAGGCAGCGGTTTTACGATATCAAATAATACGTGTTATTCGATGATCGGTGCGTGAAAAAAAAAAACCGCGTGCTTGCTTGTGCATTGCGGTGCGTTGTCGATATATACTCTTCCGCTATGAGTGTCCGCGCATGGAGGACATGCATCCGTGTGAGTTTCGCTCGCGTGTTACCCACTTACCTTTGATTTTCTTCTTTGTGCATCGCACCTCTTTTGTCGAAACCGTCGGTAACCAACGCGTCCAACACGAGCGACTGCACTAATCTTTTGTCACCTGTGTGTCGCAAAAATCACCGATGCTGTCAGTAATAATCGCTTTCTTCTCGTGTGTGTGTGTGTGTGTGTGTATATATATACACACACACACATACACATAAAGCGTATAAGCACAGAACGATATTCTCGCACGCTGCTGAATGCACAACTTACAATAGTAAGCATCTTTGTCGGGCTTGCTCGCTTGTTTGTGATGCGAGCTTGGACTCCTTGGTCTCAAGGACATCCACTTCCACCCCGGACTTCGCGTTCTTGCCAAAAAATGCAGAACGCGTTCTTCGGGGGACGGGAACCACTTTTCCGAAGCCGAACTGTACTCGCAGTACACCCAGTCGGGATGCACCTTCCAATTGCTTCCCTTGAAGTACTCGGTTACTGAAACACAACGCGTGAAACACATCCCCGATCGTACGAGTAATTTTATCCCACTCGATGGATATTGTTGCCGATAATTTCCTTACCGTTTATTATCGCGTGCTTGATCTCTTGTTCGGCCAACAATTCGAACATACCGTAACCTTCGGGCAATGCCAGCCCCAACGAAAACGGCGTTCCTTCTA